AAAAAAAAAGAAAAATCTTTCTGAAAGAAAAATCTTTCTGATTTTCATTTTATTTATCCCAATCAGGGAAAAGTTCTTGTAAGTTAATAAAATCATACTAACATGGTAGTCTTGTGAGTGTGAGATGGTAAGACTCAGCTATCTGTTCCAGGAAAGGCTAGGCTCACTACTCAGAAGAAAATTTAACTCTCTAGAAACTAATGAAGTGTATGACAGACCACACAATTTTATATCATCTGATATAAAAAGCCTAAGAATGTCCTAAAGCATTTGGGCATGAAAGCCTGGGTCCTGTAATGATGTTATGACATTCACAAATAGAGCACCCTTGACTGAATCAGAAAAGCAGGGACTTCCTTTTTCTTGAAAAAATCTTCACAATGGCCATTTGGCTTGAGGACTTAGTCATCCCCAGCACTGCCTAGTTTCCAGCACAGACAAGGCCATTGCTGATAGTTCAGCAAAACCTTATGGCTTGATTTATATTTCCTCAAAGGACCCTTTTCTCAAGGTTGATCATGGAATTCTTTCTCTAGAGCCCTGGCAGTGGAAAAACAGACCTCAGGCTCTTTAATCTCTGCCCCATTGCCAGAGCAGCCTCCAGGGCATGAGTAGAAATGAATATTGAGACCAGGCTCTTCTGCAAGCTGAGCTCCGGGACACTGAACGTAACTTTTTATCCAGCAGCAGGCACAGACTCCCAAAGTCAGCACACCCAGTTTATTGCAGGCTGTTACGGATACTTAATCCTGACACCAAAATAGCTATGTATGATTCCTGAAGGAGAAACAATAAAACTCTCAATGAGGATGCTTTCTCTGCATCTTTGATGGGCTGATTTGCATGTATTCCAACAACTAAATATCTGTGCCAGGCAAAGCTCAATCCTCTGTATCTGTTTCTCTTTTTTTCACTAGCATGAACAGCATACAGCTTAGAAACATGATCGGCACTGGGGGAGGAGGAATACAGCATGCAAGTCTTATTCTGCAGGTATCTTACTGCACCAACTTTCTCACAGAAATGCTGTTGATATGAGAACCTCTGATCTTCTACAAGACCAATAAACAATCTAACTCTAAATCCGGGTCCTACAATGGTCCTTTCACCAGAGATCCAGAAGCAGTTGGTATGCTGCCTGTCTGCAGGAGAGAAACCAAGGTTTAATTGCAGATGCCTGGTTAATTCTCTGCTCATTTCCAGTCAGATGTATCTGTGTGGCAAGTGATAAAGCTTTATCAATAAGGCACAAAGTCTCCCAAGTATCTGGCACAAGCTTGTAGAGATACGTTTCAAAACAGTTATTGTGGCCCACGCCAGCCACAGCCCTCATCAACTGCATCCCTGAGTCTGTGCCTCAGTTGGGATTTCCTCCCACAGTCCCATGAGCTCAGCCGGCCTCTGGAAAAATCACTGTCTTGTAAACTTGTGTTTTCTTTGTCATTCAAGTGAGCTGCTATTTCTGGTATAACTACAGTTTCCATGGCTACGCCAGCTCATAAATAGCGTCAGAAACCTTGGAGATGTTTTTTAAGTGATTCCTTGGAATAGGGAATAATCTGGCCAGAGGTGACAAAGCTCATGAGTTTTCCTTTGAGACCACGAGGACCGCAATCCTGCTAACCCCTTGGACTCCCTGGCTTCTGGTGCAGCTCTGGTCTGGATCAGATGGCAACCGTCGTGTCCAAAAAGGACGGCACTGGCTTTCCTGGGGCCAAGGGAGGAAAAGCCTCAGCAGGGAGGGACAGGGATCAGGTACTCAGTCCCCGAGTAGGATTTGTCATCCATCTGGTGTGGAAGCCAGGTGTGAGCAAGAAGCAGGTGCCTGTTGCTCTGAAAAGAAGCTGGGCACCCACATTTGCAAAGCAAATGCCACCTACTTTGTGAGGGGAAAGGAGAGAGAGAGGATGTATGGAGAGAGGCCTGATAATAAGAACATGGTAAGTGGGGCCCTTTAGGGAGTTTCTGTCATGTTTTTTCAGTGGCAAAAAAATAGCTTCATGTGACACCATGGAAATTTTTTTCCCACACGTCCGCTTTTGTTAAAGAGAAATGAGACAGATTTCATTGGGAAAACAGGAGAACAAAAGGAGTGTTTTGAAAACAAACAGCCTGAACATGTGTAAATTTTTAAGGTTCAGAAAAGAGGAGCAGAGGGCTGTAGAGATGATTTCCCCAGCAACGCTACCTACATAGAAGGCAGAAGGGGAGGAGGAACACCCGGAAACCTGGCTGCAGCAGATGGAGGCATGGGAATGAGCAGCCAGGATGGGAGTGCAGTCTGCTGCCAGCAGGCTGCACCTCTTTATATCCACACAAGCAGGTCCCTGCCCACAGTAATCACTTCTGCTGTCAGAAGAGGCTGAGTGCAATCAATCTCCAAGCATTTGTATACAAGCTGTAGTCATCACAGGGAAGAGAGGATGCCAACACGATGCTGCCCCCGTCCTCTTTCCTGTGCCCAGAAATTACTGCATAGGCTTCTGAAAGCTCTGTAATCATCTTCAAACACGTGGGAATATGTGTTTGCTCCTTCTCTGCTAGATTGAAAGCTCTCGGCTGCATCTAGGATTTACTTCCCGGCTTCTCAGTTCCCACTCAAGGGCTAGGACCTTATCGATTTTTTTAATGTAAGCTAAGAGTCTCACTGAAGAATTTATCTTGTCTGACTTCAACCATCTGAAAGGCCACAGGCCTCAGCTCAGCACCAGCACAGTGCTGGACTGCTGCCCACTGCCAGGGTCTGTCACATCAGAGAGAGCCTGTCCTTCTTGGTCACCCACAGTCATACCCCTGGCTGGCACGGCTGCTCCAAAATTCCCTCCTCTAGCCTCACCCAAAGACAAATCCCATCCATCATACACAACCCCACACTTTGATTTCCTTCTGCCCCCTGTAGCTCTGATGCTACTAGTGCTACTCTCTTTTCTGGGACCATTTTCAACCCTGCTGGCCCTGATCTCATGTTGTGAGCTGGATGGTCAACGAGGGTAAGTGAGAGGTGCTTTGCCAGAACCAAGGGCACCACAGGATTTTTAACCCTGTCACTATGCCTCAAGCCAGACAGTTACAGTCCGTGACTGAGATGCTGCTACAGCTGAGGATGATCTTCCAGCACCTTTTTGCTGGACTCTGGATCTTCTCTTTTCATTCTGACTCTTTCTCCACTGACTATTTCTATGTCTCTGACACTGATCTCTCAGGCAGTTACAAAAGGCTATTAAAATCATTGGAGATGCAAAGCACTCAACAAAATAGTGTGCATTACCATGCATGGAGTTTTGTTGGATTGGAGTATGGGCTGAGGCACCAGCTTTTCCCTTTCTCAGAGACATCCTCACAGTAGCAATGCAACTGGTACCCAGATGCAACCTAGCTGTTACCCTCAGCCCAGCATCTTGAGTCTCAGAGGTGACAGGCCACCCCCTTGGCTGGCCACCCACCAGCAACACAAGGGTTCCCCCTTCTTTCCCTGCCTTTCCAGCTGCTTCACCAAGACCCTGCATAGCATCTCAGCAGCATTCCCTATGACTCCCTTGAGCAGACTCAGCGCTGTTGACATTGGGTTGATTGCATACATTGCTCTGTAAGGTGTGTCTTCACCTTTGCAGCATTGCTGAGAACTTTACTGGAAACCTCTCCAGGCATTCACCAGCACAGGGGAGGGATAGGGGGTGATTAGGACCAAATCCTTCCTACTCTGACATGTGCAGACACGAGTGTGTGTGTGTGTTTTCCCAAGCAACAGCATTGCTCAAAGGGCAGGTTATTTCTTTATTTCTCTTTGCTTCTCCAGAGATCTCACCCCAGGAGCTCCAGAGAAGCCACTTTTCTTGCAGAAAGTGTCACATCATCCCTCAAGAGTGTGCCAAGGCTCTGTTGATCCCCTGGACCTTGCCGGAGCTGTGCCTGCACAGTGCTGATCTTCCAGGGCTCCCCCCACCTCCTTGCGCCGTGTAGGCACCCGCCCACGACTGATGTCCTGATGTCACCTGGTGGCAGGGTATATCTGGAGGAGAAAGGACACCTCGAGACTCTTTCTACACAGGCTGCAGGACAGGAGTTGAATGATTTGGAAGAGGAGCCTTTGGTAATGTAAGTGTTCTCCAGGAGCTCTAATCAGTAAGGGGTAAGGGGGATGAAAAAGGAACTGGCTACAAAACCGAAGGGAGAGAAAAGTCCATATAAAACCCTAGGGGGAAGAAAATCTGGATGTTTGAACTTGGAGAGCGTGAACAGATCCAGTAGCTAGGAGAGGAAGTTTTGGTTCTTCTGTGTTTGTTTTCTGTTTCCTCTAACATTAGGGCAGGTTCTGGAGCTCAGTTTCCTGGCTGTACAAGCAGCTCTGCTCTCTGCAAGGCTGCTTATTTTCCCATGCTGGGCACCCCTTGGTCAGGGTTCCCTGGAACCCCCTTGGCTTGTGTCTGCAACTTGCTGAGCCTACATGTGAGCAGCATCGGGGGGCTCCTGAGGAGCAGCTAGGATAGGCAGCTGGTGTTTCCTGCTGTGCTGCCCAGCTGTACATGCAGGAAACATCAGTGGGGAGTTTGTAACCTGTGATGCTGTACCTCTGGTGTTACTGAATCCCTTCTTTCAACTAGGATAGTCTTTCGAATTATTTCCATTTGGGAATATAGTTCTACTTTAAATGAGTTTCTGTCTTTCAGAGTGCATTCTCTTTCACCTGTTCTTGGTCTTAAAACAGCTGCTAGAATGAAGGGTTTGAGATCCTGTGTAAAACACAGGAGCAGAAAGGGCTGGACTTGTGTGGACTTTTTCCATCACTATGATTAGCAAGCTCAAGCAACTGAGACTGGAGCTATGAGACTCCTCAAAGGCATCTTACACTGGATACAATACTTCCTGTTGAAAGCCTGCCTGCAAAGATGATGCTAGTGGCTCTTATGAGGTCGGGAACTGAGCATGCAAGAAGTCCATCAAAAAGACTGTGCAAACAAGGGTATTTCCTCCTGGTTGCTGTCTACTTCCCATGTATCCCTGAATGGAGTGCCATGGCTCAGGGAGGTTTTGTGTCTGACACCCCTGAGACAGCATAAGACAAGCACACATGGATAAGTCTGTATTTTTGAATGTTTTGGACAGGGGAAGATGAGTTCCTACACCAAAACCATCTGAAGAAGATCAAGTGAGGCATCTACATTATCTGCCAGGGACATTTTCCACAGAGAATCACAGATTAAGGACAGGGCAGATTAAAGAGTCAGCATTTGTCAGTAGTATTCAAGCCCCTTTAAATTCGAAGAAAATTAAAATAAGGATGATTAACCTGGACAACAACCTAGAGGTGGGATTTCTGACGCAACTGAGATAAGCCCATTAATGTGTATTAGGTATAATTAGCATTCCCACGCAAGCAAAGCTCTTGCCCAGAGGATTAAACCCTGATCTGAGCAGAAATGCTGTCAGGGGCAATTAAGTAACACCTTGTCAGAGAAGGGTGCAGAGGAAGTGCATGGCAGAGGATCTTATGCCTCAACAGCCTTTGCATCCACAGCCATCAGCTCTTGTCCAGGAGCTGCACCCCAGTGCTGGCAGAAGCAAAAGAGATCTGGCAGCCAAGGAAGCACTGGGAGGAATCATCATAGCACTTGCAGAGATCTAGAGGAGACTCAAAACATTTGATCTGATACCAAGGACTATTCGAGTAACCAGGTACGGTAAGACAAAAGGCTGTGAAGAAGCTGCTATTGGCATTTCTTTCATATCTGTGATCCTGGGGTGCTTGTCTGACTGTGTGTAGGGGCAGTTGGTTTCCAAGATGTGGGAACTGGGGTAGATTCCATGCTGTGGGTCAGGGCCCATTCCAGCATGAATGGAGAAATCTTTGACTGTGCACAATGGCAAGTGAGTCCCACTAGCTCAGTGGTGAGAGAGCAGCTTGATTCCTACTGCAAAATATGGTTGTTCTGTGGCACTAAGGTTGCTTTCCATCCTCAGTCAAATCTTTTAGTGATGCATGGAGAGAATGGGTAGAGGAAAGTTAGTAAGGGAGAAGTTAGAATTGTCCCTTACTGAAAGTTTCGTTGAGTGCTCTTTTTTGAATTCATGCAAGTGAGAGAGGATGAAGTGTGATTTGGGCAGATAATTTTTCCTATCAAATCCTGGGTTATTGAGTAGCTGGTAGATGGATACAACTAGTTTGGATTGGGGGAAAAGGAAACTCCAAGTACTGAATCTTCCCCTTAGCTATTCATCTGTTAAGTAAAGGTCAGGGACAAGGTGTGGACCCTCAAAGATATTTTTATGATTAAGGTATCATGCTGGCAGACAGCAGGGACTGGTGAAGCAGGGCAAGAATTCAGTTGGAGATGGAGCTCAAATGCATCTTGCAAATTTTGGATGTCAGTCCTAAGGGATGGAAATCTGTTAGTTGGTTTGTTTTTTCTGTTGTACTTTTGGGAGTAGCCCTTGAGAGGGATTCTAGGTATCTTTGATGTCAGATTGACATGGTGCTTAAAAGTGGATGCGTGTGCCTTGTAGTACAGGAAGGGTATCTAATGCAGACAGACAACCTACCAATGAGAATTGTACCTGAGACAGCAACATAATAATATACTTTGGGCATTAGCAGACATACTAAAAATGAAGCAGTTTTTTGATGCAAAGCATTTTGTTGTAGGGCAGTACCATCTGAATTTCTCCCATGCTGAGTAACAGTGAGGCACCAAATTCTGTCTTTGTTTTTGAGCCAAAATGCCTTCACCTCTCAGTTTGGCCCTAAAAAACCGTGAGTCAAAAGATTTCATCACCAGCAAGGATGAAATCCAGCAGTGCAGTCCAGGTGATACTTATCACTGCACCGCCAATCTCATTCTGTAACAGATGAAGGTGACACTGTTTGCCTGTCCTAACACCCTGCTGGGGGGATAAAGCTGTAAATATTGGGAGGCTGTTCAGGTGCTTCAGAGATGGCAAGGTAAAGAAGTAACTTCTACAGTTTGAGCTGATCCCTGTGTTTGTGGGCACAGCGTGTGCTTAGGAAGCGTTGTGTTACTTGCGGAGGAATAGCATCTGTGCATACTTCAGCTGCAGACACAACCATCTGCTGCTCCATTTGGGGCTGCTGGAACCTGTCCAGTCTCTTGCTTGGGATATTACAGCTGAGACAGAAGCCTGACCACAAGCAACAGAAGAACTATCATTTGGAACCATCCTTCTGCCACCACAGATGGAAAGATGTCCTGGGTGAACTATTCCTAGACTGCCACAAATACAGAAATATGGCTCTTCACCTTGCATTGATGTGCAAGTGACACAGGAAGATTGCTCAGATGATCTTTCTCTTTCTATCTCAGGCTTTGCTTTCCAGCACTCTGGCTATTTCTGGACAGTCAAATACATGATCCCTCTTTAGATTAAGGAAAAGAAAATCTTTGATGGCATTTATAGTTCTGAGATTAAAAGTCCTGAGTGTCGCGGCAGGTGATGTTGGGGATTAAGCCAGAGTACTATGGTGATATAATGAGATTAATCTTTAGTACCAAATCCTGAAGTTAATTCCATCAGCGTTTACATCAGCCTGGATGCACAGGGATGAACACCTGGAGATAGGAGATATGTAGCAGTAATGAGGAAGAACGTGACTTCAAGGAAGGGAGAAAAAAATTGCATTTATTTTTATCCATAAATACACTTGCTCAGACCATTCTACCATACTAATTAGACAAAATTTAATGAAGGCCTGGAAGCTCCCCTTTGGGCACTTCTGAGACTTATTACTCTCTTCTCAGGGAAGGAAGCAAAAAGTTCAGAGTGCAGCAGTTCGGTCCTCTAAGGCAGGAGAGGTGTCTCCCAGACAAAAATTGCTCCCTAAGAACTGTTTAGCCACTGTGAAGTGGAGCTTGGCTCATGTACAGTGTCATGAAGAGAGGTCAGCATATGTAATATAATTTTCAAATTCTAAATACTCTGCTAAATCCTGCGTAATTAACTTCTTCATAAAAGACTGTCTCCAAGCCTTAGCTTTCTCTATAATCTTTCAACAATCCTGTGCTATTTCCTATAAGTTTGGTATTGACAATCATGAAACCCTAACAGCAGCTCCACCCAGATAAAGGGCCCATCTAGCTCAACATCCCATGTCCATCAGTGCTCATCAGATAGTGCTTAGGCACAGGTATAAGAAAAGGTGAAGTATATCATGATCATTCCCAAAGACAGGATATTTCTCTAAGCCATGCATGTGTCTTTGTTGTTCCTAGTCAGTAAAAACATCAGCACTGCTATTCCAAGGCTAACTAGAAAACAAACAACATCAGCATTAAGCTTTCTATTTTACCAAAACTGTGGGGCAAGCTGCTGCATCAACCTGTCTCCAAGAGTTCAGCTGTGTTTGAGACAAAAGAAGGTGTGAGTCCCCATGACTTTGCAAGTCACTGCACCATGGGGTTAAGTGTTTTTTGGTCTTACCTCAAGTGTTCTTCATTTGCCATCTTAATTCTAGCATGCCAGATGAAAGGCAGTGCTACCCTGCTTAATTTGTATGCATTACAATCTTTCTTTATCTTTAATATCATTAACTTTAATCCTGTCACAATTATATTTTCCATAATTCTGTCAACTGACTACTGATATCTAGAAGAGATAAGCAGAAATAAGCAGAGTGTTGTATCAGTCCTTGCTGTTATCTTGCAGACAGAGGGATCTGAGAGAGGTGCGTGCCTGCTGCACACAGCCCAGCGATGAGTGAGACCCCAGCTGCCACCCTCAACACTGGAGATGCTCCAGCTGGTTCCACCACACCACGCAAGGGGCCTCCCAAGTTCAAGCAGAGACAGACAAGGCAGTTCAAGAGCAAGCCTCCCAAAAAAGGAGTAAGAGGGTAAGGGAATTTTGGAAAGAGAAGAAACCATGCTAGTTGGGTGGCTCCCCACTCTAAGCTGGGCTTCTGCAATACCATCTTTGCTCAAGCAAGGAGCCAGAAGGCTTCCTCCTGCCCCCTGGTGCCATCAGCTCTTCAACCTAGAGCTGCTTCCCTTCTTCTGCTGCCCACCCACCATTCTCATTCCTTGGCTGGGGGTTCAGGGCAACTCCCCTATCCTTGCTGCTGGCCCAAACTCACTCCTTACCTGCTCTTTTCTCTCCTAGGTTTGGAGATGACATCCCAGGCATGGAGGGACTGGGCACAGGTAAGCTGTGCAGGATGCTGTTGTCGTGCCCTGCTTTAACACAAGTGCAGACAAACTTAATGATGAGAGAGGATTCTAGGGTGACCTCTTTTTTTCCCTGGTCTCTCTGCAGCTCTCAGGGTCACCAGGGAAGACTAGTACTACCACCGCAAGCTGCCACATTCATGCTTATGCTCTCATACACTCCTAGACAGAAAGGCCATTTAGACATGCTTCAATTTCTCAATACTCACATTTGGCTGTTAAAGTGCTTGTTTGTTTTCTGCTAATACTCTAGCTAAGAATTTCAGCAGCATGAGGTTCTCAAAGAAATGCTAAATGCCAAGCTATTAATACCAAAAATCACAGGAACTAAATCCCAGATGGTTAAGTATTTGTGTTGTCATCAGAATCCTAATTTTAAGAATTTTATGTACCCATCTGGGATTGAGAAACATGCACTGGATGAGCTGTAGCCAGTCAGGGCTTTATAGGTATTGATAAGAAGAGAGTTACAGAACTAGTAGAACAAATTATTCATCATCAGATTTAAAGCTGCACATCTTCAAGGAGATCACATTTTGGTTACAGGTAGTTTATAAGAATAGTAGAGACCACATAATTGGAATGAATTTTTACACCAGTTTACATAGCCACTGAAGAGACTGTAGGAAATGCTGGCTTGCTTTTTCTCACAGAGAGAAAAATACACTGATCTGGTTTGGTCTGACAGGTAGTATCAGATTTGAAATGCTCAGCTGCTCATTTAACCTTCAGGTTGATTCTCATTCTTCTTAATGTTTCCTGAATAAATCAGCCTTTCCATTAATAAAAAATAAATACAAGGAATGCAGGGACCAGAACTCATTTCTAATTTTCTCTCTTTTGCAGATATCACAGTGATTTGCCCATGGGAAGCTTTCAGCCATCTGGAACTGCACGAGCTGGCCCAGTTTGGGATCATCTAATGTGTCAGCATCTCTACTGGTGTCACCTGGTGACTCCACAGATTTCAGCATGGTCTTCACCACCTTTGACACTTATTTTTGGCCCTTGCATCCACTCACTTATGGGCAGGGTGGTTTTGTAAGAGCTAGTTATAAGAACGTCCTTTGCAGATTAATTTGGCAAAGTTATTTGGGACCCTAAGCAGACCTCATGTTCCATGTGATGAAACTATGAAAAATGTCTTAATGTCTCCCTGCACTATATTATTTCCTCTCTCACTGTCATAGATATTCAATATTTATGGAGATACAGGGAGGCTGTATTTGAACTTTGTCCCTGATTAGCTGAGACATTGTGTGCAGATCTAATTATATCAAGCCTATTCTGTTTTCTTCCTTCCTTCCCTGACAGCTTTCTATATAGAATTTCCATGGGTAGGTCTCCATGTTATTTGGGCCACCAATCATTTGCTGAGAGTACATCTGTAGAGAACAGCTTTAGAGTCACCAGTCCAGATATTAGTCAATCTTTCCATAGGAGAATCTTCCCCAGGGGTTCACCATAAGGAATGTGCTGCTAAGATTTACCTCATCAGCACATGGGGATAAGGGCTTGCAAATGCTGTATCTGCTGTACTGCCCACAAGCCATGAAAGTCTGGCCGTTATAATAATGTTAAGTGAAAATGTGTGTGTCTGAGATCAATAGCTAAGTGAATTAATCGTATTATTCATTCCTTTGTGGTTGCAATTCCAAAGAAGCAGCACTCCAAATGATGCTGTGTTTTCTCTCCTTTCATGGGATGCCCTGTAGGACACTTGCACTGTCCCCATGCCCACACATACTTACATGAGACATTTGCTCCCCAGGACATGCTTGCTGCTGGTTAGGAAGAGAGAGAATCATTATGACCTGTCACCAGACTGTGCCAGCAGAAGATGGTATTGCATTAACTGCTCCCTCTTCCCTGTATTTAGCATGGTACAAGTCTCCCTTCACACTGCCCCCCATAAGCAGGAAGGCTTTTCTCTCTTCCTCTGGCAACTTCAAGCTCTGGAGCTTGTCTGGACAAGCAGGCAAATGGTGCCCCCAGAGAGAGGTAACAGCAGAGCAAGTGAGGAGGCAAAAGAAGGGTAGGATGAGTACATGCAGGCAAGCACAGAGTGAATCCACTTACTTAACGCTATTGATCTGTGTCTCCTGTTCTCTGGTAGCCTGAATGCTGAGGAGTGGTGAGGCACCCATAACCACTTAAATGTTTGGGGAAGGCACCAAGATTCCCTACTGCCCTGCCATTCAGGAAAGGCTTTTGTTTTGTTAGTAGGCAAGGAGCAGGTTTGTTGTAGCTACATAATATGCATAAGAGGAGATAAAATTTTTAATCATTGCCTTTAGCTTGACGAGCCTCATTGCATAAGAACTGCCTCCCCCCATCTTATCTTTCCTATGCTGAACATGTTCATGGGAGCAAGCAGTGATTGTGAAGAGGAGAGCAAATCCTGTCTAAAGGATTGATCCCCACACGTGAAGCATCACTACAAATCCATGGCAGTGCTATAGTTATCTGCTACTGTTATTCCAGAAACAAAAGCTAGCCACTTTTGGTTAAAATATAGCTTCATCACCAAAAACTAAAGGAAATTAATTCCTGTTGGCAGTCAAGAGTACAGCTTTCATTATTCAGCACTCCTGCCATTAGAAACACTAGTAAACCACAGAGTGGTTCAGAACTGCAACACACTCACAGCACAGAAGTCATGTACCATTTAGCTAATTGCAGCCCACAGCTATTTTCCTGAAGCAGTCTGTCCTTTCCACTTACTTCCAATCTCTCCTGCCTTTCTCACCTTTTAATGCTTTTCTTCTTTCCCTAAGTGTTCTTTATGTAGATTATGTTTTATTTAGCTTTTACTGTAGGGGACTGATTTCATTTTTTCCAAGCTCATGTGCTAGCCCTCTCTTTCTGTAGTTAGATGTAGTTCCTATGGCAATGCTCTCATACTTTCCCTCACATTATGCCATCCTGTATCATATGATCCTTACTGCACCTTCTCAGTCTGTCCTCTTCTCTCTGGGAAAAGACCCACTGGATCCAGTTTTGGATTCTGCAAGCTGATTGCCTCTATTATCATTGAGTTTTCCCTTTTTTTAAGGTTTTTTAAGCAGGAGAACAATGAGAGGAGATAATTTTCCTCCGTTTTCATCTCAGGCCTTGGGAAAACGGTCCAAAGATAGTGAGATACTCTGTCAGAAAATACTGGAGTAAAAGCAAAATTCTCCTTAATCCGGGAACTGACGCTTTCGAGCCAATGGGAGGGTCCTGGTGTAGTTCCACATCTAATTGCCATATCCCTAGTTCCCATCAGAGAACTACTCCATTCTCCTTCCTAGAGGAGTCCAACAAGAATGCACACACACCCCAGCTCTCATGCCTGGCTGTTGAGCTGTATCAGAAGATGGATGCTTTGAGTCAACACAGTTTATTAGTTATTTTAAAAATAATTTCTATTCATTAATAGGGATTGCATTCATTCCTTTACTTGTAAGGAATTTTGAGACTTAGGAGTCTTAAAACACCCTCACCATTGTTTTGTCTGAGGTCCTGAGTTTTTTCTAATGACTTGTAATTCCTGAAAGTTCAATTTTTCAGTGAGAGATGGCTATGGTGCAAGAAAGCAAATGTGTTAAAAGTATCTTGTTGAAGGACTTCAGTCTATATACATTGTAATATGTTATTCTCTGTTCTTTTACTATAAAAAACATGTCAAAAGGAATAAAAATTAATAAAAATGTTTTAAAAATCCTAGGAATGTAGTCTTACTTGCTTAAAAAATATAACCAGAGAAAGGCAGATGATTTAGCTTTTCACTCTGAAATATTTTCCTGGGGAAAGCTCGGAAAGTCACTCATCACTTCTCATCGGAGAAACCCAGCTATTTATCTCCAAACAATAGACAATAAAGACTGACTTTGATAACATCTGAGAAACCGTTTTTCTCTGAGTGATGACTGGTGTGTTCTCCCCAAAGTGGTGCATATGGTTTCCTTAGGGCTGAAATCGTTTGGCCAGTTACCTCTTCTGGGACTCTTTTTGCAACTGAACATCAGCATGTTTCTACCCTGTAGCAAAAAATGACAAATGTGAATGCAAACACTCGTCTCCTTTTGCTTCTTGCTGTTGCTGAACTTTCTAAGTGTTCATAGGGGTTTCAAGTTCGTCAAGTTCAACTGCCTCCTGGTGTTATGCTGTCAAGTCTCAGTCTTAGAAAGGTTTTCTTTTGTGCCATCTTTGGAGTTTTTTTCTTGCAACTCATCACTGAATGTCCAATTGAAAATCTTTTGTCTTTGAATGTTCTCTGTCCTATAAGATACAAATGTGAATTGTCCAGGAGAGACTTTGTGGGGGCTTTTTATAAATCCCTTCCCAAAAACACTTTGAAAGCCAGAAAAACATCTTCTTGCAACTTTAGAGTCCCATCCACACTGACCTCAGTTTCTGACTCTAGTGAGAAAGTTAATTAAACCCAAATCTCTGCAAGAAAAGGAGAATAAACCTTTGGAAAAGTGAGAAGCACTTGTATTGCTTTCACAGTCCCCCCTCCCCACCCAGTATCTAAATCACCTCAGGAACCTCAATTAAAAATAAAAAAATTAAAAAATAAATAAACTAAAAAAAATCTAAACCTTCAGTGTAAGTTGGATTCTTCAGGAGATCTGAAGATGCTTAGTGCAACATTCCCATCCTACAACAGTTTTTAAGTCAGCACCTCACTCAATATCAAGCCACTGTTACATTTTCCTGTGGTATTGATCAATATGGTATGGACTAACAAATGTACTCTGACAATATCACTCTGTGTTTCGTAGGACATTTTTCTATTTTATAAATGGAATTTTGAGAGTTAGAAAAATTAATGCCAAGAGTGCCCACCACTTTTAGGTCTCCAATACCTGATTTTTCAGACTACTGAATATTTTATCTTGGTATTTAAAATACAGCTGTCATTGGTTGTGGTTGCAGCTATGAGTGCTCATCAGTGAATCTCATTCTCTCTGAGTCAGGTCTTAGACAGTAAGATCCAGGGCCTCAGCTTGGAGCTCCAAGGAGAGTATTTTTGAGAGCATTTATGGAAAGCCTCATGGGGTGGGGAGGTTATGCCAGCCAACAGTCTGTTTCAGCATTACCACTCCACCGTGATGCAAATCAAGACAGATTTGAAACAAAAGAACAGAAGATCATGCAATGAAAATAAAAGATACTATCACATGCTTATAAATGTGCTCAAGCCTGGAATTTCCTCATACCAGACTGCTTAACTTTGAAACCTTACTCCCAATCCTCATAGTGCTGTCAGTGCTTTTAAGGCTGGGATCAGCTTAGTACCCTAATGTTGGGCACCTGCACCTTCAAAGTTTGTCCTGACAGGCCAAGGCAGGGAGCACTTATAGCTCTAAGCTTTTCTCACACCAACTGTGATACACCTAGAGGGAGTAGGATGGCTGAAGCCTCTGTGCTGGGAGTACATAAGGATTTCGTTCTATCAGTTGCAGCTTTTTTCCTTATGTTTAAAAATGCTCTCACTTTTTATGTGGTTCCTCTTCTTGAAGTTTAGCATAAATGTGGTGAGAATTTTGGTCCTTGCTGCTCCTGCTGGGAGAAAAGAATGCCTTCACTATGAAGGCTCATTGGCTTCAGGAATTTTCAAACACTTTGGCATTTTTCTGAGGGCCTCTCACATTCCTGAGGCTGTAAATTAAATAGCTGAATATAACAATCACCAAAACATACACAACATACACCAGACTGTACCTATGGCAGAGCAGACCAGGGATATGGTAGAAATACATGAATTATGCTGCTCTATGAAGAGCAGGACTTTAGTCAGGGGGACAATGGGAGTTAAGAATGCTTTTGGTACCCTGAGAGCTTGGTCAGGACAGTAGTCAGCACAGGAAAAGTGCACAGGAAGGAAAAATTCTTTCAAGAACATGGAGAAGCAATGTGGTGAAGCCTCAGCTCTGTAAGCTTCCTGCCAAAGCAGTACACTGTGCTCTGTCCTGCAGACTGTGCCTGACAGGGTATAGCAGATGGCCAGGGACCACTTGCAGGAGCTCTGAGCCTGTTATGATACTGAAGAAAAGCATCCGCACAAAGCACAAACTATCTACAAAGGGCATCCACTGAGCAAGCTGAACTTGTTTACAAGAGACCTTGCTCTATCTGGGAGACAGTGGCTGCACAACCATAGAGGAAGAAAGAGCACTTGGTGAAAAACACATCAAAATGTGGGAGCTCCAGACTACCATCACAATGACCAGTGACAGAATAGGTAAGCATGAATAATATTAGTGGGAGAATCTCTGTCTTGTGCTATTAGGAGAACTCAATAACCTGTGGAGGTTTTCTTCCCTTCACCTCTGGTTAGGACACCAGGAGCAAGGCTGGAAATCCCAGGACTGTTAACATGCCCTCCAATGTAGGCTGCTGGAACACATCCTTGGAAGTGTGACCTATGCAGGCTTACAGGGGGTGAAAAGGGGCACTGCAGATGGGAGACAAGGCAAATTTCTCAGCCACACAGCGACTTCTGCCCCAAAAGTAACCCGAGGCACAAACTCCCACTTGCTTTGTCAAAACACCATATTGGTTTTTGTAGGCACAAGGAGAAGGCAAACTCTTTTCCACATCTCACAGAAGCTATCTGGATTCAAGGCAGCCCAAATCTGTACACCAGACAGCCACCTTACCATCCAGGCAGTTGCTGGCATGGGCATAGCAGGCTTGCATCTGTCTGCACCAGGGGTACAGAAAAATAACAGCAGGCCAACCACATGGAAAACAACAAGTTGTATTAGATCTGGTTTTAGCAACTGCTTTTTTTACCAAAAACACTCTGGGATCAAGGTCTTTCCATGCTAGATACTCTGTAAGTACATCACTATGTACTAATAAATCAGTAATAATCCTGGACTCCAAGCCAACGTGTTACTCCAGCCTGTGGATGCTGAACTTTACTAAAAAGGGGGCATAGTACAGGTGCAACACAGTCAGTCTTGAAAATGTCAGTATATAGACAGCTGGGATGAGGAACACGCAGATGGATAGGAAAGTCCTTTCACTCAAAAGTCTTAAACTAGAAGATCTGGTAAGCACCAGTCTCAGACAAGAGTAAAGGGAAAGCAATGATTGGAATGAAATATGGTCAGCAAATTTTGGACTAAAGCTGCCTATACCTAAATAGTACCACAAGGAGCTATATTATGAGAAATCTGAGAGGATCTTAACACTATTGCATCCCCAACCAGAAGGCTACATTCAGTTCTAGGCATTTTGAGGACAGAAGCTGATAAACTCTTCAGCATTTTGAACTCCTGTAGGAAGGGGATGAAGAGAAAATACAAATGAAGTAAGGACTCCACAGTCAGTTGGGAAGTTGTTTCAGCATGCACAGTCCCCTGAAACAGCCAAGTGAAATTGTGATTCCCACATGGAGGTAGCTGTAGGGTATAGATAACAAAGAAGGACAAATATTAACTAGGATGAAACAAGGAAAACCTTTCTGCAAATAACATCAAAATTACAAGTAGCTGTTATCAAGAAGTCCTAACAAACACCTTCCTTGGGAAAGCTGGCCCCTTGTCCCATGGGAACTGGGAAGGCTCTGATACTGAGTACATTTGCGACTGCACTGTAGAAGGCATCCAAGAATCCCCTGCAGAGAACATCTGGAACAGATCAGGCATAGTTCCTGCAGGAGTCAGGGCAGTCACACTGGGCCACCTCCACTGCCGCTGTCTCTCAAGCTATACAGCAGTGACATATAGAAAGTAAGCTTGTTTTTCATATGAAACTCATGCTCAGTCATTACAACATCAAAGCTACATACATAGCAAGCTCTGTTTAGCAGCCGTCTGTAAGTTTCCAATAACAAGACATAAACAAACCAGTGAAAAACAAAAACACTGATATGATGGAGGGAAAATATTTGAGCTGACTTTTATCCCTTCTGCCTGATAGCTGTCAGGAGTTATTATTTCTCTGTGGGAACTCAAAAAAAGAAGATGACAAGTAGGAACCACTGTCTCAAACTCACAGCCCCTTTATCCCTCAGTGATTCCTCTGAGAAAGGTGGTTGTACCTGCTCTTCACCCTCAGCAAAAGCCAGGCAGCCTAAGTGACCTCCTGCTGTCACAGGATTGTTCTGCCATTGGAGAGCAAAGTCAGTAGCAAGGGCCTCCCACTCGCCACGTGCTGCAAAAGTGTGGTGTGGAGATGTCTGCAGTGTCAGTCCTCAGCAACCCTTCCCCAGGCTGAGACACAGGGGACATAATCCCCACCCATCATCTGTGTGCCTCCATTCATGCTCCCTGGCACAACATGCTCTGCTCCCCTTCCTGTCATCCTCCCTGCTCCTCTCTCCTCCCGCTTCTGCCTCTTCCCTCATGTACTTTGCCTTTCTTTTCCTCCAGAAAATGCAC